GGACGCCTCATGGACGCCCCGTGGACGGCCCATGGACGCCCCATGGACGCCCCATGGACGCCTCATGGACGCCCCATGGACGCCTCATGGACGCCCCGTGGACGGCCCATGGACGCCCCGTGGACGCCTCATGGACGCCCCGTGGACGCCCCATGGACGCCCCGTGGACGCCTCATGGACGCCCCGTGGACGCCCCATGGACGCCTCATGGACGCCCCGTGGACGCCTCATGGACGCCCCGTGGACGGCCCATGGACGCCCCGTGGACGCCTCATGGACGCCCCATGGACGCCTCATGGACGCCCCATGGACGCCTCATGGACGCCCCGTGGACGCCCCATGGACGCCTCATGGACGCCCCGTGGACGGCCCATGGACACCTCGTGGACGCCCCATGGACGCCTCATGGACGCCCCGTGGACGCCCCATGGACGCCCCGTGGACGCCCCGTGGACGCCTCATGGACGCCTCATGGACGCCCCGTGGACGCCCCATGGACGCCTCATGGACGCCCCGTGGACGCCCCATGGACGCCTCATGGACGCCTCATGGACGCCGCATGGACGCCCCATGGACGCCTCATGGACGCCCCGTGGACGCCCCATGGACGCCTCATGGACGCCCCGTGGACGCCCCGTGGACGCCGCATGGACGCCTCATGGACGCCTCATGGACGCCTCATGGACGCCTCATGGACGCCCCATGGACGCCTCATGGACGCCCCATGGACGCCTCATGGACGCCCCGTGGACGCCGCATGGACGCCCCATGGACACCTCATGGACGCCTCATGGACGCCCCATGGACGCCCCATGGACGCCCCGTGGACGCCCCGTGGACGCCTCGTGGACGCCCCGTGGACGGCCCGTGGACGCCCCGTGGACGCCGCATGGACGCCTCATGGACGCCTCATGGACGCCCCATGGACGCCGCATGGACGCCTCATGGACGCCTCATGGACGCCGCATGGACGCCTCATGGACGCCTCATGGACGCCNGGACGCCTCATGGACGCCCCATGGACGCCGCATGGACGCCTCATGGACGCCTCATGGACGCCGCATGGACGCCTCATGGACGCCTCATGGACGCCTCATGGACGCCCCATGGACGCCTCGTGGACGCCCCGTGGACGGCCCATGGACGCCCCGTGGACGCCGCATGGACGCCTCATGGACGCCTCATGGACGCCCCGTGGACGGCCCGTGGACGCCCCGTGGACGCCCCGTAGACGCCCCGTGGACGCCCCGTGGACGCCCCGTGGACGCCCGGTGGACGCCCCGTGGACGGCCCATGTACGCCGCATGGACGCCCCGTGGACGGCCCATGGACGCCGCATGGATGCCCCGTGGACGGCCCATGGACGCCGCATGGACAGCCTGTGGATGGCCCATGGACGCCCCGTGGACGGCCCATGTACGCCGCATGGATGCCCCGTGGACGGCCCATGGACGCCGCATGGACAGCCTGTGGATGGCCCATGGACGCCCCGTGGACGCCCCGTGGACGGCCCATGGACGCCCCATGTACGCCGCATGGACGCCCCGTGGACGCCCCGTGGACGTGCTGCGGGGTTCACACGTGTCCCATGGGAAGCCGTCCTGTTGCTTGGGGCTAACATCAAACTCTGCTCTGGCTCAGGTTGGGAACCTCTGCTGCCCAAAGCTCGTCAGGCC